CCCGTCGCCGGTGCTGGGCGCGTGGCCGCGGTGGCCCCGGAGCTGCGCCTTCCAGCCCTCGGGATGGGCACGTTCAGCGGGAAGACGGAGGCCCCACCTCGGGTCCGTTCCACACGCCGCTTCCCGGAGCAGCCCCTCCTGGTGGCATTTGCAGCGCGGCTGCCGCCGAGGCCGCCACCAGGCAAGGAACACCCTCCTTCCGTGCCTGCCCAGCCGGGTCCTCTCTGCCGTGCGCTCGTGCCAGGTCCTGTGCACACGTGGCAGCTCCTCCGGCCAGCGAGGGGTGCTGAACCAAGGCCTGAGCCGGCTGCCAGGGCTCCCAGCACCGGGCACATCCTACGGGAGCAGAGGCGAATACACGCTGTTCGTTTGGCGGTACGTGCTGTATCTGAGGGTGTAGCCGGCGCTGTGTTGGGGTGCCCAGCGGGACCGGGGCAGTTCGTGCCTGGCAGCAGCCTCGGCAGGGTGTGCCAGCAGTGTGGATGGACCAGTTCGGACGGGGTTCTCATGCTGGAGGTGTGCAAGCCCTTGACACAACAGGACATGTGCTTCCCATCGACAGCTCGAAGGCTGCAGGATGATCGGGGGTAGGAGGAGCCCATGGAAGACCAGAAGGAAGGGAGAGGGGAAGCTGACTGATTAGTAAAAGACTGGGTGGGAAGCCCAACAGGGCACGGCAGCCTGAGGCTCAGGGCCCAGCCAAGCCCACAGTGGAAGTCTACAGATCAGGGGGTTTGGCCATGGCTTAGGGACCTGCAGCTCAGTCCAGTCTGGCACTTTGCAGCTCTCATTTCTTCTTGCTCATGATCTGGCTGGAAATCCAGTTCATCCCATCCTGCAGGGAAGAGAGAGAGAGATGAGCACAGCCCCAAGAGCAGGTCCTTGGGTCCTCTCCCACCTCCGCAAAGCCCACAGGCCCCCATTTCTACCTGCACTCCTTCCCCAGACAAGGCTGAGCAGGCCTGGATCTGCCATTCCCGGTCCCGGTAGGTGTGGAGGCTCAGCCCTTCCGCAATTTCAGCCGCAGGTGCTGCAGTCACTAAGTCCTGCTTGTTGGCAAACACCAGCAGTGGGACCCCCGTGAGGGCCTCGTCTTCAGTGAGCTCTGCCAGCTCCTGCCAAGAGAGAACCATCTCCCAGAGCTGCTTCCTGCCTCCATGGAGCTGCCCAAGGCAGGCTGGGGCACCTTGGTCCCCCAAAATGCCTCAGTCCCCTCTCTTGTGCCAAAGAAGCTGTGAGGTCTTGACGTGCCAAGGGAGAGACATGCACCCCTGAAGCTCCATCTGACCAGAAGAGAGACTGGGAGCTGCAGGCAGTACTACCTTGGGGCTGAAGCCCTCCTGGCACCAGCAGCTTTGGGCAAAGGGCAGCTGCAGGAGGCTGCTGCCAGCCCCGTGCTGTCTGGCACACCCACGCTGCCGTCTGGTGCCAGGACAGCCGAGGCTGGCACTTGAAGTCTCACCTTCCCCTCTCCGGCTTTGTTCCCAGGGTTTGTAAGCCTGAATTTGCTACTCATAAACCTTTGGTCACATTGCTAACCGGGTGCTGGGAAGGTAGAAGGGGTGCCAGGGACCGAGTGGTCACTCTCACCAGAGGCAGAGTCATCCCAGTGCTGGGTACCCCTGGGGCTTCACCCAGCTTGGGGAGGAGCTGCTGGTCATGGATCTGCCATGGGGTGAGGTCGCTCTGTGTGCTAAGACCCCAGTCACAAGTCCTTCCTACATAGGTCTGGCAACAGCTGGGCCCCCACAGCAGTGCTGCCCCACAGGAGAGAGCAGCCTTGCTCCCCACTACAGTCCTCAAACAGCAGGTGCCAGATGGGTCCAAGCCCCAGGACCCCACAACCACCCTCCACCCAGACCCCTCTTACCTGCCCAGTCTCCTCAAAGCGCTTCTGGTCTGCACTGTCAATGACATAAATCTGCCATGGGGACAAAAGGGACAGTCGGCAGCTCCTCCTTGCCCCGCTGCCTTCTGTGGGGGCTGCAGGGCTCTGCTGGGATACAGAGCCTCGTGCAGAGGGCATGGGGGGCTGCGGGTGGCTGCCCCACTCACCAGCAGGTCTGTGCTGCCCAGATACTTCTTCCAGTAGGGACGGATGGAGCGCTGGCCCCCGATATCCCAGACGTTCAGCTTGAAGCCATGTGAGTGGACACTCTTGATGTTGAAGCCCTGTGCAAGGACACAAACCCCGGCATCACACAAGGGCAGGGTAGGACCTGTCACCCTCCTGCCACCTGTGGCCCCCAGCAGCACCTACCTGGGTGGGTGTGATGGTGCTGACCTCCTCGGAGGCCAGGCGTTTCAGCAGTGTGGTCTTCCCTGCGTTGTCCAGCCCCAGCAGGACGATGCGGAGCTCCTGCTCCGGGGTACCCTTCAGCTTCTGGATGACAGAGAGCAGCCCCTGGGGGCGTGGGGAGCCCTGTGAGGTGCCAGGTTGCTGCAGAGCACCCTCACTTTGGAGAGAGGAGCTGGGTGCCCTGCTGGCCATGGGTGCTCTGCGTCTGTGGCCTGAGAAAGCTCCAGGGCTCAGCTCCCAAGGTGTCCAGATTCAGGATGGCCCCACGGCAGATCCACCCAGCTCCCCCCCTCCTGCTGTGCTGTCCCCATCCTGGGAGCCCTGCCAGCTCCTGGGTGTGCTGGAGGGACACAGACAGGGCAAAGCCCTGGTCCTGCTCTGCCAGCCCAGCCAGCACCACAGCCAGGAGCGATGCCAGCAACACCCCCCCTGGCACAGGCAGGATGTCACCAGGCCCCGCTTACCTTCTGCACATCACCCATGGTCTGGGAGTCACTCCGGCCTGGGGCACAGCTGGGGAGCTGCCGGGTCCTGGGTGTGCTGGAGGGACACAGACAGGGCAAAGCCCTGGTCCTGCTCTGCCAGCCCAGCCAGCACCACAGCCAGGAGCGATGCCAGCAACACCCCCCCTGGCACAGGCAGGATGTCACCAGGCCCCGCTTACCTTCTGCACATCACCCATGGTCTGGGAGTCACTCCGGCCTGGGGCACAGCTGGGGAGCTGCCGGGGGCTCGTCCCTGGGGCCTGCCGGAGGCTGCGTGACTGGCACGCTCCCCAGCCCCGGGGGAGGAAGAGGATTACGGGCTCCAGAATTAGCTGCTGTTTCTCCATTTACCCACAGCATTAAATAATGCCCTCAGCAAATCCCCCAGCCAGCTGTCGCCCCGCCATCCCTTGCCCCTGGGATAGAGCAGGTCCTGCAGGGCTGGGCTGCTGGGGCACAGGGGGTCCCTCTCCCCAGGGTGCCAGGCTCCTGCTGGGGATGGCAGCTCAGCCGGAGGATGCGGTACCCGGGAACCACAGGCACCACTGCGGGCAGAGAGTGGAGCCAGAATGGAGCCGTGCAGCAGAGCCTGGGGCTGGGAGAGGCACTGCAGCCCCAGCCTCTGAAGGGGAATGCTGCCTGCTGCCCTGCCTGGTCCTGTCCTGGTGGGTGTGCAGGGCTGTCACAGCCTCCTCTCTGAGGGCTGATGCCTCAGCATGTCCCTGGTCCCCACATCCCAGGCAGGATGAGGGGACACCAGCACCCAAGAGGAGGTGTCGAAGGGTGGCAGGAGGCTGTGGTGAGGCTGGAGCTGGTCACTGGAAAAACTGCCACAGCTCCTGCTGCTGTCTGACGGAAACCAGTGAGCCCTGGAGCAGGTTGAGGGATGAGCTGTCACAGCCAGAGGTCAGGGATGGCACAGGGCAAGGGGCCAGAGGGGCACAGACACTTCCCTCAGCTGCCCACCCTGAGGCAGGGTGAGGGACTAGTCAGTTCACCATTTGGATTAAATGCATGAATTAAGCAACCTCTTTAATTCTTGCACACCGCAGTTCAGTCCTCGGATCAGATTTCCTAGCAGAGAGGTTATCCTTGTGGTGGGGACCGTGAGTCACGCACTCTTGGTGAGACATTTTTATTTATAACTCCCGTTGCAAAGCCAAGCCAAACAGCACAGCTTAAGCTCTGACAAAGGGAAGGGGAGAAGAGGGATCACCCCACCCCACACCCCACTGCTGCTCTGTGCCATGGTGGGGGGCAGAGGGGCAGCAGCAGGGACCACCCTCCGCTCCCCCCTGCCTGCAGACCCTGCCAGGGCTGTAGCTGCTAATGCTGCTCTGCTTTTGTGCATGCTCATGGTGGGAACACTTCATTTTTCTCTGCATAGATCTGCACCCAACTTAATGTTAGGGTTCTGCTTTTGATAGGTTAATCACCCACCTTACATCCCAGTTATTAGCATTTCCAAGAGCGGGTTGCCATGGTGCTCTGCGGTTTATCCTGTAACTGTTAGTTACTTATATTTTCTAACAAATATCCTAAAATATCCTCAACTGGTTTGTGGTTGCTGATCAACATGGAACCCTGAGATGGCCAAAACTGCTTAGGCATCACTTTGGTGACTTCAGGCTGCACGTCCACCACTCCTCACTGCCAGACTCTGCTGGAACCCACAAAGTAGGCAGCTCCCCCCAGAAAAACACCAGCTGCTGATGGCAGCAGCACAGCCCTGAGGCCACCCAAACCCATGGCCTGGTGTGGGCAGGGAGGCAGCCGTGTGCCCAGCCCAGTGTGACAGGATGAGCAGCAGCAGAGGGGTGCACTGGGTGTGGTGATACCCCCCTGCACCCCCCTTCCCTGGGGTGATGTGATGCCAGGAGGAGCCCCTTTGGGCTGCTCAGGCTGCTGGGAGTGGGTTGGTGACCCCCAGGGCAGCACAGGCTGTGCAGATGGGGACTGAGTGGGATAGGGATTGGGATTGGGTGCTGATAGGATTGGGAATGGGGGTTGGGATTAGGGTAGGGATGTAGACACAGATGTGGATGGAAACACATGTAGATGGGCATGAGGTCACAGATGTGGATGCAGATGTGAATGTGGATGGAAACAGGGAAAGGACTGGGGATTTGGATTGAGATGGGGACAGTGACTGGGATGGGGATGTAGGTGCAGTTGGGAACTGGGGATGCAGATACAGGTGGAGTCGTAGATGCAGGTGGAGGCATTGATAGGGATGGGGACAGGGATGTGGATTCAGATGAGAACCGGGAGAGGGATGAGGATGCAGATGTGAGTGGAAGTGGGGATGCAGATGGAGACAGGGATAGGGATTGGGACGGGCTTGCAGGCGGGGCCGCGGC